TGGGGGACGAGAACTGGAAGGCCAGACTCCCACGCTGACCTCAGCCCTTGTGGGCAGCTGAGGGGCAGTCATCTGCTCAGCCAGTCCCCACCCCGACCCTGTGGCCTCAACATCCCAGAGGCCCATTACCAGCCCACACATATTCCCCAGGGCAAACAGCACAGGGGCTGTGGCTGGAGGACTGTCCACTAGGGTGGACCCACCTGGACGTGGGTGTGAGCGCCTGGATATGAGGGCTGGCTGTGGGGTCAGGCAGAACCAGTGTTGAGGGTACAGCTCAGGGCCGGGGGACCCAGCCAAGGGACCAAGTTTGCAGAAACCCCTATGGGCAAGGGCACAGGTGCCCCAGCGGGGAGGCAGGCCTGTTGAGGCCAGAGGTGTGGAGCAGCCACCCTGGGGAAAGAGGCCAAGAGCGGTGGGGCTGTGGGAGCAGCGGGCTGGCCACAGCTGGACACACCCGTCCCCAACACTACTCTCCCCACCAGACCAGGGCTCAGGACAGCCCTCAGCCCCAGGGCACAGCTTGCTGAGAGCTGGGTGGAGAGCTTCCTGGTAGAAGTCCTTGGGACCATGGTGGGCAAGGGTGGACGGTCCCTCTGCTTCTGAGACCCGTGTTTGGGCTGCACCTGAGCTGGAGAAGAGCTGGGCGTGGCCCATGCTCTCTGCTCTGACGGTGCCCCGAGGTCCTGTGTGTGCTAAGGCTGCAGTGGAGCCTGGGGGCTGGGCACCCTGGCCCTCCTGCTGGCCAAGTGTCACTGGCACCGGCGTGACGCAGGCCTTCCCGTCCTTCCCAGGCCTTCTCTGGCAGTGAATGCTCACCAGCCTGGCTCTGCCGGCTGGCTGCTTCTCTGGGAGGACTCACAGCACCCAGGCCAACCCCATCCCTGCAGGGCGTGACCAGGACCCAACGGCTTAAGCCTCAAGGAAGGGCCTCCGCCCTGCCCTCATGCCTGTGCCCAGCGAGCGGATGGCACACAGTCGCAGGTGTGAGCCATTGTGCGCCCCAACAGGAAGCCCCTGTCCAAACTGGCAGGATAAGAAGGCCTGTGGAGAGACTGGCAGCTCCTCAGTGGGGACACAGAATTCCATGGGACGCAGAGCCAAACAGCCCAACTCCCCCAGTAAGGGGACAGATAAAGGTGTCCAGACAGTGGATATCGTCAGCCCTGAGGACACGTGTACAACGTGGATCTGCCCCCAAGTGTCCCCTCCCTGCATGGAGGCCCCTGCCCCAGGTGCCACCAGGGAGCTGGGTCTGGACAACTGGGCTTGGTTCCTCCCGGAGATAGCTCTGCCTCTCGACCTCCAAGGAAACTGGGTCTGACCTGGGGACACCCCTGTTCCACCCTGACTGTTTGCCATCAACAACCCTGGGCGAGGCCGGCCACTACGAGCCGGCGGACGCTCTCGGTGCTTCTGCGCAGCTGGGTTGACCTGAGCTATGGCCACACCTCTGGCCACCTCTGGGGGTCCCCATGCCGGCCCCTCCATCCTGCCCCGTCCCAGCCAAGCAGAATGAAGCCTCCCGCTGCTCCAGCTGTGGGGAGGGGTCTTCCTCCTGGAGGGACCCCACCCAGCAGGAGTGGGCAGGGCAGGTGCCAGGCAGCAGGATTTGCGTGGGACGAGACCCTGTCCAGGCCGTCCTCACTGCCCAGGACAGGCTCCCAGGCTAAGTGAGAGAGCCACAGGGCTCAGCTGGACGCCAGCACCAGACCTGTGTGTGCATGCCTTCTTTCTGCCCTTCTGGTGGCCAAGGTACACCCCTTCCGGCCGGCCTGCCCCACCAGCTGCCCTGTCACAGCTCAGCCAGCCACCATCACCAAGACCAGGAGGCCCGGCCCAGGTTGTTCCTGGCAGGACCCATGGTACTTTCGGAGTCTGCCCACATCTGCTAGGGGTCCGAGCTAGCTTTAGTGATGGAACAGAGGGTCCCTCTTGGCCCAGAATTCTCAGCCCCACAGTCCGGCGTGGGGTGCATCTCCCAGGACCTTCTGCAAATCTGGGGACATAGGCCTGAGGTCCCAGTGGTCACCCTACAGGCTGCAGGGAATGGGGTGGGGTCCCAGAAGTCTCTGAGGGAGGCCCTGGAGTGAGTAGACTTGGCTTCATGGCACCTGGGCCAGGAAGGGCAGGCTGAGGAGGGACACCCCCGTCACTCCAGTGCCCTGTATATCCTGATGGATCTGCCCTGGGGGGACCCAGAACAGGGCCTTTATTTCAGGGGCCCCAGGCAGAATGACTAGGCAGGAGGCCAGGGCAGCTGAGCTGGACCCCGCCCCTGTGAAAGGCCCCAGACTCAGGCCATAGGCCCCGGCAGGAATGGGAGCTCGGTCATTATTTTCTGAGTGAGTATTTATTTCCCACAAATGAGCATCTGCCAGAAATGAGGCAGAAATAGAATTCAAGCCTGTTTTCTTTTCCTTTTTTTTTCTTTTTATTTTTTTAATTTTAAAAAAATATTTTATTTATTTGACAAGAGAGAGAGACCACAAGTAGAGAGAGAGGCAGGCAGAGAGCGCAGGGGGAAGCAGGCTCCCGGCTGAGCAGAGAGCCCAACGTGGGGCTCAATCCCAGGACCCTGAGATCATGACCCGAGCCAAAGGCAGAGGTTTAACCCACTGAGCCACCCAGGTGCCCCTTTTTCCTTTTTCTTCTTCTTCTTTTTTTTAAAGATTTTATTTACTTATTTGTCAAAGAGAGAGAGACACACACACAGAGCGCACAAGCAGGCAGAGAGGCAGGCAGAGGCAGAGAAAGAAGCAAACTCCCTGCCGAGCAAGGAGCCTGATGCGGGACTCGATCCTCGGACCCTGCGATCATGACCTGAGCTGAAGGCAGCGGCCTAACCAACTGAGCCACCCAGGCATCCCAAATCCTTTTTCCTTTTTAAACATTTTATTTTTTCAAAGTCATCTCTACCCCCAATGTGGGACTCAAACTCACAACCCTGAGATGAAAAGTCACACGCTGCACCAACTGAGCCGACCAGGCCCTCCTCAAGGCTGTTTCTGCACTGGAGCCAAGAACACAGGCCACAGTGCCCGAGCGTGTGCCCAGCCTTGGAAGGGGCCCCCTTGGCAGGAAGACACGGAAGACTTCTCAGACCCACCCTGTAGGGGAACCAAAGACCACGCCCAAGGAGCCCCAGGAAACACACAGTAGGAGTTGGCAGGAACAAGGACAGGACGAGTCACTAGGCACGAAGACAAATCCACAAACACTGCGGCCAGGACCCCAGACACGGGGCCGAAAGGCTGCTGGGTGCAGGGTGATGCCTGCAGTCTCGGAGCAGGCAGGGAGGGGGGCGTGGGGGCGTACTGTGTGGGCTACACATCCAGCAGAGCGATGTCCCTCTGTGGCCCCAAGGACACCAGTCCCTGGGGGTGGGGGCACCCTCTGCAGATCTGGGGTGGGCGTGGCATCCTGGGTTTATAGATGGGGGTAGCCTGGGGAGGCAGTTCCTATGCTGGGTCCCTTCTCTGGGTCCATTTCCAGACCGGGAACCCTGTGGCCCCCATCAGACTCGTCCCCCCCCCCCCCCCCAGGGCCCACGAAGGTCTAGTTGTCCTTATCACTACAGCCCCACGGTCAGGGGATAGGCCTGGGCACTGGAGCAGCCCCCACACTGGGTCCGTGGCCTGTAGGCTGAGCTCTGTGGGCCAGGCAGGTAGAAACCTCTGGAATATCACTCTTAGACAGTAAGTTAGGGCCGCAGCCAAGGGCAGAACCTAAGGGGGTGTGTGGGCTGCTGCAGCCCCCCAAGAGGGCAGCATAGGCTGGGGAGGGGCTCCTGGAGGGCCTGGCCCCGGCACTGGATCCAGAGTGGCTTGGATGTGAAATCTCTACATCTATTTAGGCCGCTCGTTATTTGTTAAAAAAGCTAGACACTAAAAATAGCCTCGAATGCATAACACACACAGGGAGCCTGCCCGCACCAGCCTGAGTCACTCAGCGCACCCTGGGAACCCATCACCTCTGCACCTGGACGGTGCTGAGGCCCAGACGCACCTTGTCCCCGGCCCTCTGTCCAGACTGAGTTGTGGGGGTGCCAGGGGGTGCGGAGGGGGCCAAGCCCCAGGGCCAGAAGGCAAGCAGGGTCCCAGCCCCCGATCTGGTCCTGCTGCCACAAGACCCGCCATAGGACCGCAGGGCAAAAAGCCGGAGCCTCTCCCTCCTCTGAGCCCCGGGCCTCGCGCGCCGCGCCGCACAACCACAGGTCTGGTGAGTCTCAGGCCAATGTGGTCCCTGGTGGGGAAGGTGGGGTCTCGGCGTCCAGTCAGAGCATCCAACTCTAGGTGCGGCCTCTATGTGGGGGGCATCGGTGCTGGGCTCGCAGCAGCTGGACATGAGCCCTCCGCTGTTTATAGGCGGACACTCAGACCTCACTGACCCCTGATTTAAGTCCATACCAATGCCTGCATCCCACCCACGCAACAGGCCGAGGGATGGAGGCTGACCCTCTCCAGTCCATGGAGTCTTCCTTCTCTCTGGCATCACACCGGACTCCGAAAAGAGGGACCAGACACAGGCTCCCGGAGGCCTGCAGGGCAGCTGTGGCCCAGGCAGCCCAGGGCAGGAGTAGGACGACCCCAGGAGCTCGTAAAGCCACTTCTGACCAAAGAAAGCTCTGTGCTGACAGATGCTCCCCTAAGCCCACACATGCAGCGACCACATGGGACCAGACACCTGGTGCTTCCTCAACAGGCTTCTCATAAAGGAAAGCTCTTGTTTTGAATTTCAGCATCTGAAAGGCCCATGTCTGCCCCTCTCTGTGGAGGAGGGACCCAGCGGGACGTGGACATGGGCCAGTATCATTCTGCTCTGGCCACGTGCAGTGACTGTGGGGCCTGTCCAGAGCTCACGGTGAGGGCCGGACCCCCAGACCCAGGCTGCCCGGAAGCCCCGAGGCCTGAATCCGCTGCTCGCTGGCTGGGGTTCCTGTGCTCCTCTCTGTGGTGGGGGCCGAGATCACCCCAGAGAAGGTCACACGGTGCCAAAACAAACGTCATCAGAAAATAGTTTAATTCTGTACAGGTGGCGGCCAGGCTGACCACACATAGCGGGTGTCACGCACGGGCTTGTGGGGGGCGGGGGGAGAGCTGAGCGGCGCACTCTACCACAAGCAGAGGCGCCCTCGAGGCAATGGCCACAGGACAAAACGAAATGAATCACAAACCGTGACAGTTATGGGGGTAGCGTAATCAACATTTCCTTTGGGACCAAAAAAGAAAAGGAAATTCAGAGGCTTTGGAATGCTTTTTCTTCTCATGCCGGGGAGCGGCGTCTGTTCCAGTCCACTGAGGACGGTGGGCACAGCAAGCCGGGGTGGCCACACCAGCCCACGCCATGACAGCCACGGACAGGACCTTGGAGGCTGAGCTCAGCAGCTTCTGGCTCCGTGAGCCACACGCACAGCCTCGACCACAATGGGCTTAGAAGAGGGGCCGGGAGCCCTGGCTCTCGAACTCGGCCCATGCGTCATTCAGCTCCATGAAGATCATCTTGGCATACTGCTCGTAGGGCTGCCCTGCGGCCTGGGGGCCAGACCAGTGGGGAGGAGGCCTTAGGCCTGCTGCCAGCACCCCGATCCTCCCACCCCCGATCCTGCCCCCACACCCCGGCTCAGTGCTCACCTTGTCCGGATGGACCACCAGCACAGCCCGGCGGTAATGTTTCTTCACCTGCCCCGGGCTCACCAGGTCAGCCATGCCCACAGGCGTCCAGCGGCTCTCACCATCCCACAGCACGGTGTGCAGGGTGGACAGCAGTGCACGGATATTCCTCTCCTTACCCTCCGTCCACTCCAGGAGCTGCAGGGTGCACAGGTGCTACAGAGAGATCGGGGCAACCGCCCCCCTGCCCCCCAAGCTGCTCCACACAGCATCCACCACACGGAACAAGGCTCTGACTGTGAGACGCTCAGCCTGGACACAGACCTGACTGTCCACCCCCGGCATGGTTCACACCACTCCCTGGGCCCAGCCACATACCACACAGGACTAGACGGCCCCGCAGAGCTGCAAGGCGAAGCCGTCCTGGGGATAGGGCACCCCGACCCCTTGGCAGTGCCATATCTCAGGCCAGCCCGGACAGCAGATCGCCCTCATCACCCCTGTGCCGTCTGGGGTTCCATCTGGTCAGGTCTCCAGAGCAGCGAGGCCCTTAATCACCCCGCAGGTTAAATGTCAAGGTTAAATGTCAAGGTTAAATAAACGCAGGTTAAATGTCAAGGGAAGCTGCTGCTGTCTCCGCAAACATGTTGACCACAACCCTTTCATGTCTGAGAGTCAGGAGCCTCCCACAGTGGCTGCTGGCTGGCTCGGGGTGCAGGCCAATCCTGCCCGCAGGAACCCCCTCTCTGCAGACCTGGGGGGGGCCAGCACCCCCTCACCTTCAGCTTGAGCGGGTCGGTGTCCCGCGCCTGCTCCTGCCTCCGCATCTCGGCCATGGTCCTCGGCCCCTTCCTGTCAGCCTTGGAGGAGAAGCCCTGGTCGGACAGCAGGTCCTCAAAGTCGCTCTCGGATACTCTTGGCTTCTGACCTATGGGCAAACGGAGGCTTGGCCAGCAGACAATGCTCTGGGGGTCCCGCCCATGGGTGCAGGCTGGGTGAGGCCCACCCGGAGGACAGGGTGCTGTCGGGACACCTCAGAGGAAAAGCTGTTCAGAAACGGGCGGCCTATCTCTGTGTGGCACACACCACAGCCCACAGCCTGCAAGACTGTTTGGAGGTCAATGACACTTTGAGATTGAAGGACAGCCACGCCCGTCACCTCCTGGGGTTAACCCAGGTGTGCCGTCCCCATGACAGACAGGGCTGCAGGCTCCTGGAAAGCGTGGGTCTGGTGGCCATGGCCAGGCCCCAGCAACTTCTTCCAGTCCACAGGAGCCCCCGCTGAGGGAACAGACCTGGGCCCCGTGAATACTCTCCCCTAGGTTGGGCCACGAGGTGGAGAACCGGGCAGAACACTACTTCCTAGGAACCATGAAGAAACCACCCACAGGACATGAGGAAGACTTACCGAAGCTGGGGGCGCGGACCCCCCTCTCCTCTCGGCTGCCGATCACACTCAGGTTGGCGGCATAGTTAGGCCTCGGCTGTGCACTGGCTTTTAGGGGTGGCTTGGCCTGGGGGGGCCGTGGGGTGCCCTGGGCTGGGGGCCGACTTGTCTGCTGCCAGGAGCTGCTGCTGGTGGGAGCGGGGACCGTTTTGGGCCCGAAACCCCCAGGGGCAAATCCAGCAGGTGCGCCTGGGGAGACAGGTCACAACAGGGTGAGTGTCCAAACGCGTGATGGCTGCCGCATCCTGGAGAAGTTGCTATAGACAGGGGCACTGCCGTCTCCAGGACTTCATGTCCACGGGGGCTGGGGACAGCGGGGACACTCAGAGACAAGCGCTGGGCCTGCCTCCCCACTCGCCCTCAGAAGGCACGGCTGCTTCTTGGAACAGACGCCCAGCGAGCTGCACAACCAGCACCAGGCCCCCAGGTCCTGGCTCCACGGCTGACCTGCGGCAGCAAACACAGCGACACCAGCGTGCATGCGTGCGTGCATGCGTGTCGGCGACCACATGCAGGGACGCGTGTAAGCGAGGTCAGACACTCCTCTATGCCCCTCCCCGGGGGCCATCATTCCGAGACTGCTTCAGAGTCGGGATCAGAGCACAGGCTTTGCAGCTGGTGCTTCTCACGCAGGACCTGCTCCTTCTCACTGTGAGCAGCTATTTTGGGCAGAGATGCAACATGGTGTGTTCACTCCCTGACCCCCGGGAGGGTGTCATGGCTACTCCCGTTTTGGGCATCGCGAAGCCACGATCAACACGGTGTGCAAAATTTTGCTGTGTCTCTGGGATAAATGGTCGTTGCACTTTTGTGGGAAACCAGCGAGCCATCTCAGACCCCCACCAGCACCTGGGGCCACACTGCTTCTACTGTGGCCGCACCCTGGGGCGGCCCCAGCCAGGTGGCCCCGTGCTGGGCACCCACACCCCCTCCCACATTCTAAGCTGACGGCTCTGGTTGTTGCGGTGCTCACGTATCCGAGGCATCTGTCCGAGAGCAGACGCCTGGCTCAAAAATGTGTTTTCCGCATCCACAGCTTGTCCTCCCCACCCCTCAGTCAGCACACTCCAGGATGACGACATGCCCTGTGTCATTCCCTCCGCTGCGGTTTGTGGTGACACGCAAACCATGCCTGGGTTCCAGAGATGACCTCCTCCATGTTCTCCTCCTCCAGGAGCTGAAGTGTCTCTTGTTCATGTTTCAATCCAGGACTCATGCCCAGCCACCTGTTGTGAGGCGTGAGGGTTAGCGTGATGTCACTTGTCTGTCGCAGTGGCTTTGCCCCTCCGTCAAAAATCCGCTGGCCTTGCATGTGTGGGTCCACTCATGGGTCCCGGGTCCATTCGGCTCTGATACCATGCGGTGCTGGGTTCAGCACCTAGTGTAAGCCCGAAGCTGGGCGTGGGGTGGGTGACACTCCCATGCTCCTTTCCGTTACAGAAATACTCTAGCCACTCATGGTCCTGACATCCCAAGTAAATGTCCCTATGAGCTGGTCCACGTCCTCGGCTGCCCGCATCAGCTCCTCACCTGCAGCCCCAGCACACAAGCCCATCTTGCTTGCTGTGAACAGCCTTCCCTGCGCTGTTGACAGGGGCGCCAAGTGCTCTTGCCAGGCCCATGACGGGGCTGACCCTGTTCCCCGGTCGCGGAACATTCCTGGAATAAACCCTCCTTGGCTGCGGTGCACAACTGTGTGAGGACAGTTCCCTCTGCCAGTTGTTTTGTTCAGAGTCTCTGTCTACATTCATGAGGGACATAGCCCTGCAGGGGTTTTTTTGCACAGACTCTGGTTTTGGTCATCAGGGTATCACAAGCTTCCTAAAATCGACCGGAAAACATTTCCTCCTCTTTCTATTTCCTGGAACACACTGGAGAATCAGTATGAATTCTTGAAACATTTGGTAAAATTCTCCAGGGAAACCGTCCACGTAGCACCGGAGATTCCCTTTTGGGAGACTTCCAAGTGTGAATTCGTTTCCCTCCCAGTTACGGGGATATTCCCACAATGTGCTCAGTGCTCGCGGGTTCTCCTGGAGACCGGCTCTGAGGACACGACCAATGTCACTGCCCACGGCCCTCGTACCCTCGCCATCCTCAAGGTCTGTGGGGATGTTCCTGTGTCCTAGCTTGATCATCCTTTCACTCTGTCCCTCGTAGAGCTTTGTCTGTGATTTTACTGATTTTTGAGCTCTCTTGATATTTAAAAAAAATCAGATTCTGTTTCATTAGTTTTCTACTTCACGGATTTTGGCTCTTTATTATTTCCTTCCATCTGTTTGGGCTTATTCTGCTATCTTTTCAGACACCCCCAGGCTGATAAGAAGACCGCAAGCACCCGCTCAGTGTCGTTTGCCCGGTTTAGTGCACCCTCCTGTTTCCTAAATACCTCACTTACTGCTCAGCACTGAAGCACATGAAGACTGACCGTTATCCTGCCGTCCCTGGTTTCCAGTCCATGTGGTCAGGGGACCTCTGCAGTCTTGACAAAGGCTCAGGAGTGCCTGGGAGTGGGTGTGGTCCGCGCTCACCGGCTGGGGCCACTATAGGGTGCAGGGCCCTGCCAGCAGGGGCGCCCCCAGCAACTCCATCACTGTGCAATCCTCACATCCAACCCCTCGTCCAGTGGCTTGATCACTCGAGGAGTCTGACATCTACAACCAGAGTCTGACTTTGTCTATTTCTACTTTCCTTCCATCAGTTTTCACCAGGATCACTTGTTTCCTGAGGGCATGTGAGGCCTGGGGCCATGTTGCAGCCCTGAGGGCCAGGCTCCAGCCTAAGGATGGGTCACTCAGGACCTGAAAGGTCTGACCCCCGCAGCAGGAGGCTCTGGGCAGCCCAACCAGTGTGAGTGGCCAGAGAGACTGCACAGGCACAAAAGGCCAAGGGCAAAACCACACTCCCAGGAATGCCCTCAGAGACATGGTGCAACCTGAAGCACCAACAGCTACTCCAAGAAGGAAAGCCACAGGGCTCAACCAGACAGACACGGGGCGAGCCCTGACGTAGCAGAGACAGGCGGGGGAGGGCAGGCGATCCTGCAGGCCCAATGCGCGTCTCAAGAGGGGAACAAGAGTACAAGGTGCCAGGAGTCTTCCCAGCACCAAGGAACATCGTCTCCAAACCAAACTGAAGGCTGACTAGGCACCGCGAGGGGCAGCAGGGAGCGGCCACGAAGCTCCGATGGAAGGAGAGCTCTGTGGCCTGAGGCCAGACGCCCTGAGTAACGAGCCTTCCCAGCAGACATTTTTCCAGCCTGGAGTTCTACCTGCTACCTGACTGCCAAGGAATAAGGAACCTGCTTGGGGACTCTCGGTCTCGATACTCAATGCCCCACATGCATCTGGAGATAACAGAGGGACCCTGAGGACATGTCCCCAGGAGATTCAAGGCCACAGGCAGCAGGCACGGGCACTGGGTGCGGGTGGTTCATCCATTCCTCCATGACTCCAAGTGCCTGTGTCCCACATGTGCCTCATGCCTCCTGGTGTTAGCTTGGCTCACAAGCCCCTATGAGGGGAGCAGGGCCCCCGAATGCACCCTCCTGCTAGGGGCCGGTACTCTGGGCCCCACACGTCACCTTGGAGGCCAGAACTGAGGTCACCGAGGTCTGCAAATGGGTCCAGGCTCTGAGACTTGGTCCAGCTGGCCGGGGGCCCAGGGGCGGCAGGCTGGCCTCCTGAAGAGAAGAAGGGACCTGGAGAAGGGCAGAGAGCATGAGAAGGTGCACCCCCAGAACACTCCTGAGGCCACGCTCGGTTACTGTCTGCGCCCCACCAACCCCAGACACAGCTGTACATGCAGCCAGAGCTGCCTCCTCACAGGAGCTAGCCTCCACGTCACGTGGCTCTGATCCCAAGTCCCACTTCCCAGAACCCACGTCAAGTGTGAACGTGCTTTGTGCTGTTCCTCACAAGGGCGTAAGCTAGTCAGTATTCTAACTGTGAGACACGGTGGGGTCTGAACGAGTTACCACTGTGCACCTCATGACGGAACATTATACAGTTGTTACAAGTAATCGCTGTTCCTACATAAAGAGTTCTTACAAATCGATTAAAAATTAGTTGAATTTCAAGGATGCCTGCCTGGGTGGCTCAATTGTTAAGCATCTGCCTTCCGCTCAGGTCATAATCCCCCGGGTTGCTCCCTGCTCGGCAGGAAGCCTGCTTCTCCCTCTCTCACCTCCCCCTGCTTGTGTTCCCTCTCTCTGTGTCTCTGTCAAATAAATGAATAAAATCTTTAAAAAAAAGAAGTTGAATTTCAGAGATGCCTGCGTGCCATAGTTGGTTGAGTGTGACTTTTGGTTTTGGTTCAGGTCATGAGATTGAGACCCAAGTCAGGATTCTTTCTCCCTCTGCCCTTCCTGTTCATGCCCTCTCTCCCTCTCTCTAAATGAGTAACATTTTAAAAAGCTGAATTCCCTCTGTGAAAAAAGAAATACAAATAACTTAAAACATGCAAAATAATAGCTGACTTCCTTCCTAATGAAAAAACGCAAATCAAGAGACAGTATCTCCAAAGTCCCCATCTGGCCCTGGGGAGAGCCTCAGGCTCGGGGTTGCTCCTGGGCAAACACAGCAGTGAATGGTACTAGGAGGGGACGCAGGTCACAGGCCTGCCCCAAAAGCTCACTACTGGAGCATTCCTGAGAGGACAGGGCATGGCCCCATGATGCCAGATATGGCACAGACCCCCAGGGGCCTCCAGGAGGCAGAGGAGCCACGGGACACAGGACAACACCAAGGAGTGCTATGGGGACCCTTTGCATCACCTCCCACTGAGGCCTCCTGGCTCACACACTCCTCTGGGAGTGGGCTCCCACCTGAGAACCAGCCTCCATGGGGCTGGGCTCGTACCTTCTGCAGTGGTCGAGGGGGTCGGTGCCTCGGCCCAGGCCTCCCAGCCTCCCAGCAGATCTGGGTGGCTGGTCGAGGCTGTCATCTTGCCGGGCTCCGCCGGTAGGTCCCCTGGAAAGACAACAGTGCTACCCAGGGTAACCCCTGGTGGGGGCAGGCAGCAACAGCCTCCTCTGTCCCCCTTCATGTGTGAGCAGGGCTGGGCTCACACCTCACCAGGGTCCCGAGAGAGCTGCTCTGGGCTTGGCCCACACCAACCCGCTTTCTTTTTCCTCGGAGGCCCAACGACATGTCACGTGGTCCCTGAACTAACCAAGTGCATAAGGAGGTCAGCAAGCAGAGCCGCCATTCACAGAGCAACAAGCGTCCACACATCTTCAAAGACCCCTCTCCACCCTGTGGCCAGCCGCATGGACTCACGGCTAGGTGCTGGTGCCCCCAGAACTGCCTTTTGCCCTCCTCTGAAGCCCCGCATGGGGAGGACAGCTACAGGCTGGTCACCTTGCCAGGGGAGGGGGAACCCAGAGCACCCCTTCGTTGGCCCAGGGCCTGCAGGAGGTGACCATGCCACCACCCACCTCGGCAGGCCCCGACTTCAGTGCTTACCCAGGTGCAGGAAGTCAGTGCTGCAGGCTGGGGGTGGGGCGCTGTGGGTGGACGGGAAGGATGTGGGGGCCGTGGCAGCAGATTCCGAATTAAGAAGTTCACCGAAGAGGTCAGGCTTGGAGCAGGGCTGGCTGCCTGAACCAGATGGCAGTAGGAGAGGATCAAATGGGTCGGCTGCAGAAAAACACCCAGAAAGTGGGCGGATGGGAGGCTCTGTGTGGTGCCTTCGGCCCCAAGTATCAGCCTCAAGGTCAAGCGGGTCCCAGCCAGCGCGACGGCCCCTCAGACCCAGGCTGAGGCCGCACCATCCGCTCCAAAGCGGCGCTGGACGCCAGAAGGGCCTCACCCTAGACTCTCCCAGGAGAGGCAGACTGTGAGAGGGAGGGAGAGGGAGTGCCACAGGGGCCCTGGGAGTCTGCCCGCAGAGCAGCTGGCTCCTCCAGCAGGTGGCCGAGGGGCCAGGCGCTGACCCTCCCCGTCCACTGTCAGGAGCCCCTCCCAGGGAACCCTGACAGTATGGCCAAAGGATGAAGACCCTCTCCTCTATTTCCCCACCAGATGGAGTAACGTACCAGCTGCAGCCTGCCCTTCCCGGGGCGGGCTCTGTGCGCTCAAGGAAGGGGCCGGGCTTGCGAAGAGCAGGGGGGCCTCTCCACCCAGCAAATCGCCTGAGGGGACTTCTGGAGCTGTGTCAGGGGCCCCCAGGAGGCAGCTGAGCAGGTCGGCAGTACTGGGGGCTGCCCCACAGGCCTGAGAGGGAGGTGCCAACCCCGCCTCGGAGTTCAGCCCCAGGAGGTCGACACTGTCCTCCTGCAGCGTGGGCTCCTGCGGCGTGGCCGGTGTGACCCCGTCAAAAATCAACTCTCGCTCCTGCACCCTCGCTGCCGGGCCTGGTGTGTCCTCGTCAGCTGCGTCCCTGCTCTCTGCTGAGAGCGTCGCTGCTTCCTCATCAGAAGGCTCACTGCCCGCTGCATCCTCGGCCGGGGCTGACGCACTCTCCTTGGCAAAGCGACCTTCGGGGCCCGTTTCGGGGTCCTTCTCCTCTGAGAAGAGAAGCACAGTAGACAGGACGGCAGGGTGAGGCCTTGCCGGAAGCCGCAAAGCGGAGGGTCTGGGAACAGCTGACCCCAGAGAAAGCGCTCAGGCCTGAGGGGAGAAGATGTCGCCTGCACGGCAGGCTGGATCCGATGGCTTGGGGGCACAGGGTCCCTGGAGGGGGCCCGCACCCACCGTGCCAATCTAGCGTGTGGAGGAAGCGGCTGCTGTCCGTGCTGCTGCTCTGCGGTGAATCGGACTCTGTGGGCTCGGCTTCCAGAGAGCCGGCATCAGCGTCGTACTGGGCGGTGGAGCCAGGCTGCCTGGGGAGCTCTGGCTTCCCTGCCAGGGAGAAGACCACGTCAAGGACCCAGCCCACAATGCCACCACCGCCTGCTGTGGCCAGCCAGGTGGCTTCAGGGCCAAGGCCCCGGGTTGCCAAGCGTCTCATGGAGTGGCCAGGCCACACGGCCGAAGCCCTGGGGAACCTGCACTGACCACCAGACAGGGTCCAGTCCGTGAGCAGCTCCCAGTTCGCCCAGACATGGCCCCATGCCACTCATGTGGACACAGACACTTCCCAAGGAAGAGACCGTAAGATGAGCAAACCGAGAACGTGAAGACGACCATGTCGTCATAAGGAAGTGAGATCACACGCCCTGCCCGCTGATGGATGCGTGTAGCCCTTCTAAATGCTTTCGAAACAGCCAACCCGGCGAGCGACCGCCTGCCCCGCTGTGCCCTGCGGGTCCAAACAAAGCCTTGACTTCTTCCAGGTATGCTGAAAACAGCATGCAACTCCAGCCTGACCCACGATGACCCCGAAGGTCAGGTGGTGCCCAGCATCCTGGGGTTCTGGGAGCAACCACAGAGGCGTGAACCCGGGAAATGCGAGCACATTGGGCATGAAAGCTGGTGTCGGGGAAGGTCCCAAGTCGGGGCTCCGGGCCGCCTTCTGCCCATGCACAGCCGGACCCCAGGATGGGGATGAGCTCAGCCCCCAGGAGTCTCCAGTGGCAGCAGCACCACCACCTACATGTCTGGAACACAAGAATCTCACCAAATTTAGAGAGAATGTCTTGCTGCTCCTCCCGGCTGGAAAACAGGATTTTGGGGTTCAGTCCCCTCATGCTGGTGCTCTCCCAGGGTGGAGCCTCCCGGCTGGGCCTGTCTCTGGGCTCCACCTCCACCTCCAGGTTCACTTGGAATAAATCCGGGTATTTCTCCTGAATGTCACACGCATCTAGGTCATACCTACAAGGGGAGGCCAGACGCCAGTTAGGAAGGACTTTTCATGGTCAGTCAGCCCACGTTAACCAGAAAGTGAGCATGAAGTGGCACGTGTGCTTGCTGGGGCAGGTGCGCCGGCAGGACACGGCCCCTCTGCTGTGGGAGTGTGGGCGGCCCTCACCCCCAGCCCCGTGATCCAGATCGGGCACTCAGGGACCTTACATGTGCGTTTCCATCAAACAACACTGTCCACCCTGCCAAAAATCCCCAACTGCTCACAGGTGCCCGTAAAACCAAGAGCTCTGGGGAGGGTGGCAGGGCAATGGGAGGCAGAACACACAGCTGGCGGGAGAGGAGAGACAAGTTACACCAAGACCGGGTGTAGGGGCGTCACTGCAGGGTCACCGTCAGATCACTGAATTTGAGTTTGGGGGGCTCCGAAGATCTAGGGGAGTCCAGCATTTCCCCCGTGTTCCCTCAGGTCATCTCGGACAATGTGCTCACAGACCATGATGCTGAGGCCCATTCCTCAGCAGGGCAGCAGGCTCCCAGCCTCCATGTTCTTTTAAGTCACCTGACGTCTCTGGGCATTACTTATTGCAAAAGGGGCAGCAGGTTCCTTAGTGACCCAAGCTGTGGAGGGAGCCGCCCTTGGTCCTCTGTGACATCTGCGAGGCACCCATAGCCCAAAACGAAACACAGCCACCGGGCAGTGGGGCTACGGACATGGAGGCAGACTGGGTGGTCAGTCTGGGTGGAAAAGCCTGGCAGACTTCAAGTCTTACTTCCAGGGACTCAAATAAAATAAGTGAACAGGCATGACCCTAACGTGGAACGTCACTGGTTTCAATCCTTCCCACTCCTCCAGAGACAAAACCACCTTTGTGCGAGGGGAGGACACCCAACAGGGCAGCTACGTGGGCAACAACAGCCCAAAGCCGAGCTCCTCTTGCTGGGGCAACAAGGGCAGGAGCAGAGCTCCTCAGGCTCTCAGGCCACCGTGCACTTCCTCCCTCTCTCCACCGGGCACCCATAACAAGGAGACGACGTGGGTCACCGCACCACCAGGCAGGAGCGGCTCCCAGGGGAACCGCAGGGGTAAGACCCAAGGCAGCGATGTCAGTCAAGGGGGAGTCCAGCAGCCAGCAGGGGCCAGGGGAGGCCTAGACCCCCATCCACAAGGAAGGAGCGAGGCAGGGGTCCACACAAAGGAGCACATGACCAATGCAGGCTCAGCTCTGGGGGCCACAGGGCTTTGGGGGCAGCTCTGGGCACCACGCTGGTGAACCCCCCCCCCCCCCCCCCCCCCCCCCCCCCCCCCCCCCTGGGGGCCCCCCGGGGGCCCCCCCCCCCCCCCCCCCCCCCCACCCTGCCTCATCCCTGAGGATGGCCTCTGGGGCTCAGCCTACCCAGCTCACCCCACAGGCCAGTGAGGGAACAATGAGGGTCTGTGAGCAGGGCCACTACCCCCATGACCCCGCCCCACACAGCAGGAGGCCATAAGGCCCAGGCCTCACTAGATGGCCCCAGGGGCCAACATGCTTGGCTCAGAAACAAAAATGCTTCCTGTGTCATGAATTCAATTCTGCCCACTTGAACACACTGGGGACCCTCCCTCAGTGACAGGAGAGCTCATTGAGGATGGACCCATGAACACTGTTCTAAGTTCTTCTTTCAAGCTGTCCTGTTCCCACCGCCTCTCCGCAAAATGGATCCTGCCCACAGGAGACATGCACTTTCCTCCATCCATCAGGCAATGCAACAACTTTCTCCTAATTTAAGTAATCCATCTTTGGAAGCACCACACAGGCAGTAACACATGGGCCTGAGAGCACAACTCAGTCAAGTTCTGTGCTTGCGTACTGGGACGTTTGCGGGAGAAATGCCCTTTTCAGCCCCCACAGAAGTCCCCATGTCAGAGGCAACCACTCCCTGGTCCTCTGGCACCCAGAGGGTCAGAGCTGAGTCCTCCCAAGACTGCAGGGGTGAGTCCTCTAACACTCCTTCTATTCACTGGGCAGAGAGGGGCTCAGGTCTGGAGAGTGCGGGACCTGGGCAGCCACAAGCAGTGGTTCCCAGAGCTCCTCCCCAGCTCTCCTTTCATCCCTGGAAGGACGCTTCCAGGGGAGAAAGGTGGGTGGTATGTGTGCATGCGTGTGAGACGAAGGGGAAAAATGGCCAGCTGGAATCAAAATGCCCCCTGGGGCGTCTGGGGGGTACTGTCAGTTAAGTGTCTGACTTGGTTTCAGCTTAGGTTGTGATCTCAGGGTCATGAGACCGAGCCCTACACTGGGCTCGTGCTAGGTGGGGAGTCTGCCTGGGATTCTCTCTCCCACTCGCACGTGCTCTCTCTCTCCCAAATGCCCATTGTGCCGATCTGTCCCACTACCTGAGCCCCTCCGCCTCAAATATAAGGTGTGTATACCCACCACGGACTAGGAGCCAGGTGTCAGAGGCCCTTACGCGGGACTCTAACAAGGTAACGAATCTGGGAACACAAGAAACTAAAGAGCACTGGGTGAGTCAAGAGGATTATCCCCAACTGCGTGTATTTTGGTTTTTATCTCTAACCCCAGACGATGGACTTCCCCCAATCACCTCCAACCTCAGTGCCTAGCAGAGCACTCCCACGTCCTAGGTGCTCTCTGTGTCAAAAACCAATGAACACCCATTCAGCTGTTCATTCTATATCCAGTGTGTCAATGGCTACATTCTAACAAGAAATTCACCAGGTCAGTCCCCAGGTCCCCGAGGTACACGGTGGCAGCTGCCACAGCCCACTGGAGGCGTCACCTGCTGGATAGTAAGCACGCTCAGAGGCGGGGAGAGACCCAGGACTGGAGTACAGTGTGGCAACCCAGCCGTGCAGGAACCACATCGCCCGCCAGCATCCAGCGCACGGCACTCATTTCCATGGGGTGCACAGCAGGCGGACACTGTGCCCCTGACCCTCCTGACCTCTCCCACGTGTGACATCCACATACTTGGCAAATTTCACAATCGTTGCATTCCGAGGCACAAAGCCCGTGTGGAACTGGACCTGGAACATCTTCATGGACGCCACCTGCAGAGAGGGTGCAGACAGGAGATGCTCGAGCTGGGGAGGGCACATCACGTGCTCACACCACACACACACACGCTTCCCGGCTGACGGGCTCAGAAGCCTGATGCACAGCGCCCTCCTGACAAGCAGCTTCTCAGGGTCTGAGGTAGGGCAGCCTCAGAGCCGTAACTCAGCAGGCCCCACGCAGACAGCATCCCGCAGCACAGGGAACTCCAGGTGTTTTGGGCTAAAATCCCCTCTGCTTTGCACCACACAAGGCACTTCTCACTGAACACTGGGCCCGAGAACCCTCAGCGAGAACCCACGGACTGACAGCCCAGGATGGCGTGAGTGCCCACGTACCTTAGCCTGCAGTCTTCCTCCCAGCGTGGACCTGGCATGGTAGATTATAATAAGCACATCTCCTTGCACGGTTATGCCCAGGGGGATGACTGCCTTGCCATCCTCAATTTTGAAATCCCTGAAAAGCGGAAGAATAAAAACAGGTTCACAAGTCACACACACAGCTTTCCAGAGAGCAGTGGTCCTGGAAGGCTGCGGCTCTCTGGCAAGAACCTCGAGCTCCCCTAATGCACCAACACTGAGATCCACATGCTCTCATTTTGCTGGGCTTCCTGCCAAATTATTCTGGGAGGGGGTGTTACTCTGGGAATGGACTTCTAAGAAGCTACTCCTCAGCACACCAGTCAGGGAACCTCTCACACCTGTCGCCCACCGGCTAGGACAGGATCATGGAGCCTGTTCCTGCTCTGCACCTTGACCCCAGATAGGGTCTCAGCACCTTTCCACAGCTCGGCCAGATTTTCTCCTTACAAGTCTCCCGGAGGAGGGAAAGTGAATGAATCTGAAGGCCATGGGACACAGAGGCCCCGAGCTCAGAGCTCACCTCATCTTGTCATACTCCTGAGATGTGGTGGTCACACGCTCGTCCCCCACATAGACCTCGCAGAAGGGCCGGCAGCCATTCCTCTGCTTGCTGAACAGCGGCACGGGTGTCATGACCACGGCTTTCACCAAGATTGGCTTGCTGTGGGGCGTGATGGGCTCCTCTGCCACCATGTCACACATGTACTCAATGTACCTGCAGGGGCCAGAGGCACTCCACGTCACCTGCCTGCCATGTCCCTCAGCACCCCACACCTGGTTTCTGACACGAGTACTCAATGCACCAAACAGCTCACTGCACCTGGCTTCCACAGACGCGAGTTCTCAGTGACACACAGCTCACCGCACCTGGTTTCCACAGACGCAAGTACTCAGTGTGACACGCAGCTCACCACACCTGGTTTCCAGAGGCACGAGTACTCAGTGTGACACACAGCTCACCACATCTGGTTCCCACAGACACGAGTACTCAGTGAGACAGTCGGCTCACCGCACCTGGTTTCCATAGACACGAGTACTCAGTGCATCTGGTTCCCAACAGATATGGGTACTCAGTGTGACTAACTTTCCTTGGAGCAGTGTGCTCTAGTTTCATTGCACAATTTATGATGTAATTTTCATTTGGTTTAAAATATCTTTAAGCTTCCCTTGAAACTTTTTCTTTGACTCATGGGTAATACAGGAGTAGATTAATTTTGAAAAATTTAGAAAATTTTCCAACTATCAGTTATTAATTTCTTTTTAAAAAATATTATAAAGCAGGGGCACCTGGGTGGCTCAGTTGGTTAGGCAGCTGCCTTCAGCTCAGGTCATGGTCCCGGAGTCCCGGGATCGAGTTCCGCATTGGGCTCCTGGCTCCACGGGGAGTCTGCTTCTCCCTCTGACCCTCTCCTTTCTCATGCTCTCTCTCACTGTCTCTCTCTCAAATAAATAAATAAAATCTTAAAAAAATATATTATAAAGCAATCTCCACAGCCCACATGGGGCTCATACTTACCATCCGATGCTCCTGATTGAGCTAGCCAGGTGCCCTTGTTGGTTACCAATTCCTGGTGTAGCTTTATTATAAACACACCTCGTGGGACTGCTATCCTCCCATGACTGCAGCTTAATGGCCCAGAATATGATCCTTCTTACTGAATGGTCTATGAGCACTCAAGAGGAACGTGTCTGTTTTGGTTGCTGGGTGGAAGGGCCTACAGATGTCATCCAGATGGCTGCCTAGAACTGACCATCCAAGTTCTTGTTTCGTTCACTGCCAAGGCAGGAATGTTGATGCCTACACTATAACTGTGACTGCCCATTTCTCCTTCCAGTTGTTTTCTGCTCTAAAAATCTGGAATCCGCTCTCATGTCTGTCACTCCTCCAGCTCACCTGGTTGGTTTTCTCGGCACCTGTGGGGTGCACACACCAGGCATCTGTCTCGAAGAGACAGGGAAGGAGTGGGGAGTGGCTTCCAAGCAGGAGGCAAGGGTGGCCACTTCTGAGCGTGGGTCTCACATGGCATCGCGCTAGGAGACTTGCTCGGGGAGCTCTTCCCCCACGTGACAGGATACCTGCACTCGTCTCACTCACGCCACGAAGCCAGGATGCCCACAACCCATCCACACCCGTGCAACCCACCAACACACTGAGTGAGCACGGAAGTGCACCAGAGAGGGAGCAGCAGACTTTCTCAGCGAGGTTCACCCTGCAACAAAGCCTGGCCACCTGACCCACAGAGGCAGAGAAGCACGTGTGGGTTCTCTGAGCCACTAAGTCTGCAGTGACCAGTCACGGAGCACCTGTGCCCCCACCCTCCGTCTTCTTCTTTCTGCATGGGATGCAGGGCTCCTCCCAACAGGTCATCACTGGGTGCTACTGCTCTCTTGTCCAGTCTGACAATCCCCCTCCTAACAGGCACGTCTAGAGCTCGACTGTGAAGGCTGGGTTCTCCTATTTTCTGTTTCTCATTTCTTCTTTTTCTTTGGCCTTTTCCTCGAATAAGTGAGCACTTTTTATGACTCCGCTGATCTCCCCTGCTGACTTACTAACTCTCAGACTCAGAACCTTTACTGGTTGCTTGGGTTCGGACAATGCCTCTGATGTCTCTCCGTGGGGGGTCTCCATAAGGGGATCTCCATGTGGGGTCTCCGGCAGATGAAGTCCGGTGCATCTGAGTGGGTCTTCTGCCTGTTTGTTGAGGGTTTCACCCTGTTTTGTGTCCTCTGAACTTTGGAGGTTTGGCATCTTGTTAATTTTGGGACTTCCTCAGCAACCGTGTCTGCTCATGTTGCCCTCCCCATCGTTCTGCCTCCTGCAATGGCCCGGCAGGCCTGGCTGCCCAGCCCCCTTCCCATGACCGCTCTCTGAGCTTCGATTGGGTGACGCCTCCGGCCCTGCCCTCAAGAGGCTGAGACCCTTCCCTCAACTCCTGGAGAGCAGTCTCCACTAACCCTGCCCTTTTCCCCATCTGGCGTCTGTGTGTGAGACTCACAGTTCCTGCCTTTGCGGAAGTGACCACAGGCTCTTACATCTTGCCCACCTTCTTCATTAGCGCCTTCCACACATTCACCAGTCACCTTACATATCCCGTCAGATACATTGGGGTCTTGTTCTGAAGCCACTTGGATTCCTGTCTGTCCCACAGGGGGACACTGTGGGTGTCCCTCTGGTGGCCAGCTAGGATTCAGGAGGGCACAGACTCCCCCTGCAGGTGTTGCCTCACCCACTTCTGCACACGGGCCCCAGAATCTGCCCACCCCCAGCACCGTCAGCGACGACTCGGCCGAGGGTGATGTCGCAGACGGCCCTCCAGAGCGGGGCGCATGGTACCTCTTGTGGGACGGCCAGATGCCCGGCGGGCAGCGCTTCATACTGAACATGTACACGGCAGCCTCCGCGGTAGTGAAGAGCCGGCAGAAGCACAGGAAGGAGCAGACAGCGACAGCAGACGCGGCTCTCCCGTCCTAGGACAGACAGCACAGGCCAGGCTTGCACAGCCGCAGCATCTGAGTCATATGCCTCCCTAGACAAGAGCCACAGGGGCTTCCCCCATCTCAGAACATACAGGGAACCACACCTGACTGGGGAGTGGGGAACTCAGAGTCCAGAAGGAACCTAGGTCCCTCCCCATGCAGGTGGGAAATTGGAAATAAGGCTTGTCCTCAGCCACAGTGAGGAGGGCAGAGACGGGGGTCCCATGAAGCAGAGTGGTCTCAGTGCCAGGCTGCTGAGGCTCCCGTGGGTGCTGCCTTGCGGGGAAAGGAGAGGATAACCCGTGGGGACCCCTCGTGTGCTATAAAGAGGAGGAAGGGGACTGCCTATGTGGGCAGTCCTCCCCAAGAAGTGGCAGGGACCCACAGAAGGTGTGGGTCCCACAAGGCACAAGCAGCCACTGCTCCCTCCGGGGTCTGTGACCTTGAAATGACAGGGGCCATGCCAGGGCAGCTAGGCCTGGGGTCACCGGTTGCAGACACCAGGGCAGAAACTGCTCCTCACAGGACCTGCCACGAGTCCACGGGCTGGCCCAGCATGTCCCAAACAGACCCTGGCCCTCCAGAAGCCAGCAGGCCACATTCAGTGGCCTCTCTGAGAGCAGTCACTGCAGGTGTCCCAAGTCTCGCCAGGGTTCTCCCCCGCTATCAGACAAGGCCTCTGATTATGCGGAGGACCCCAGCTGCCCCGCCAGCCTCCCTCCTCAGTGCCCTGGATCTCACTTCCGCTCTCGCCCCCTCAGCCAATCGTGAGTTTCCCTGGAGCATGGGTTATTTCCTCTGATTTATGTGTTCTTCTCAAGCACCCCACCCCCAAGGTGAAAGGCAGGGATGGGGCAGCCTCACACTCACCATGCAGTGCACAACGCAGACGTTCTTGTGGTCTTGCCGGAGCCACGAATGCATGTTCCTGCAAACGCTGTACAGGCTGCGAAGGTTTGGGGCCCGCCTGGCCGCCCAGCCACACTCGGAGACCTGCGGGCAGAGGTCCTGGCTCTGCCTGTTTCCCCATACCAGCTGGGGGTGCAGACACAGGGTAGGGGGGAGCCCCATCATGGGCACGGGCTCTGGACAGATGCCACCAGGGCCCCTGCTCCCGAGCGCTATTGCTCCATGATGTGCACCAAGCTATACAAACTTGGCAAAAAAACTGGAGAGCCTGCCCTTTCCCATGCTTGGCTCGCTCTAAATACCGTGAAAGAGTCTGCATCCCCTGTGGTCATTCATTAAGAAAACCATGTGGCCTCCCACAGCCTCACTGGTGAGGACCAACAAGGCCCCCTAGATTGGGGCAATTTTAGGGGACATAACAAAGCCCATATGACTGGAGTCGTCCAGAGAAAGCCCCTGTCCCCACCGTCTCCTGCCATGTCCCCATGTTACCACACTCAAGCCCCCCACACCAGAACCCTGGGCCCCGCCTGCTGCCACTGCTGCTGCTGGGGAATGCCACACGTGAGTCTGAGGGCCGACGAAGAAAACGGCAAGGAGTGAGAGGCAAATGTCCAGGCCACCCACCCGGTTATGAAACTTAGAGGACCGGTATGTTCTCGGGGACAGGTTGTAGACTGCATAGTGTCCCGGGTGCTTGGAGTCCAGAAACAACCGTACGTCTTCTATGTTATTCTTTATAGCTGACTCCACGCCTTCCGCTGGGAATGACATCACTGAAAGAGAAAAGCCCGTGTCAGCCACAGGCAGGACAGTTGGCCACTGGGGCCCCTGCTCCTCACCTCCCCACAGCTGCTGACTGATCAGTCCAATGACTGCCAGGAATGGACAGAACACAGACCTTGCCACCCCGCCCACCCCTTGGGATCTCCAGACAGTGCCTCTGGGATGGGGAGCTTGGCTGGACAGCCTGAGGCACAACAGGGTCTCCAAGTATCTGGATTCTGATTTGGGTATTTGGAGATCCAAGTTTTAAATGTGCTCTGCATCATGCCCCTCACCATCTCCGAGTTCTAGAAAGTTCCAGATCAGGGGAGAAGGTGGGTCAACGCTGGGACTGTCCATGGCAGGGCCTGGGGATACATGGACAGAGGGACAAGTGCCCCAGGCCCCATCTTGGGTAAGTGAGTGGCTGCCCAACAGGCACCCTCTCCTTCCCCACCACTCACACCCTGCCTCCCATGAGCCATAGTTAGGGAAGAAGCAGAAGCGTGTCCTTACAGTTAACGGAGGCAAACATACCAGCAATTCTGGATGTGATGTAAGAGATGTCCAAGTCTCCCTTTGCATAACTGGAATTAACAAGAAGAGCCTTGGTTATTACAGGAAATTTCTAGAGTTAGGTCATGAAACCCTAACCAGAGGGAGTCCTGCAGGGGGCTCAGGCTGCGGCTCACGGGAACATCGTGTGTCCAAGTGTGCACCTGTCAGCGTTGGGCCCGTGTGTCCAGAGTAGAGGTGGACAAGAAGTTAGAAACTGCAAGTGACGGACAGGCCAAGACCCAGTGCAAACTGACTGCCAGTCTCCTCTAAAGACATATGGCAGTGGGAGCTGGTAACAAAAACACAAGACAGCACATCATGTCTGGCAAAAACTGAGTTCCAAGAGACAGAGAAGGCATCAGAACCAGACATGGCAGAGGCGTTGCCAGGACAGGAGCAGGAACTAAAGAAGCTATGATTAACATGTAAGGGCTTTAACTGAAAAGTGAATGGCAGACAAGAACAGAGGGGCAGTGTGATCAGAGATAAAGGTTCCAAGAAAGGATCAAAAAGAAATGCTGGAGATAAAAACTGTGGCAGAATCGCTTCTCAGCCTTTTGGCTAAGACCAAGTGAAAAACTGTGGCAGAAATAAAGAATGCCTCTGAGGGGCTGATTAGCCCAAAGGCAGCAGAGGAAAGATCTCCGAGTTGGAAGATCTAGCCACAGAATCCTTGAAAAATGAAAAGCAAAGAGAATAAAGACCGACAAAATCCAGAACCGAGTCTCCAGGGATGGGGGACAGCCACAAAGGTGCACCACGCACGCGATGGAACGCAAGACTCAGAGAAGAGAAGAAACGGCAGAAATATGTGAGCTGGGAACGACTGAGAATTTCCCCAAACTAACGTCAGACACCAAAGCCCAGACCCCGGACGCTCCAAGAACACCATGCAGGAGCAATCTGTTCAGAAACCATGCCAGCAAGAAGAGAGTAAAACATGTAGTGTGGAGAGAAAAAAACCCACCAGAAAAACCTAGAATCCTGCACGCTGTGAATTACCCTCCCAAAGTGAGGAGCAATAAAGACTCTGTCAGGCAAACACTGAGGGCATGTGTTGCCAGTAGACCTGCCTTGAAGACTCTTTAAAAGAAGTTTCCCGGAGAGAAGGAAAACACTTTGGTCGGGAAACTTGGATCTACATAAAGAATGGAAAAACGTCAAAGAGGAAGACCGGGTAAAAAAAACCTTTCACTTTTCTTGTTCTTAGCTGATTTAATAGATGCCAGTTTGCTCTGAATAACAACGGCCACAGGGCATCTGGCAAGCAGGCCATGCACACACACTGCTGAAGGCCGGCGACGAGTGCCTGTGGCGGCATGGAGGGTTGGAGCCGGTGCTGCGGGAAGAGCAGAGCTGGAGCAGCTGGAAGTGTGGGCCACGAACTCTGAAGCAGTCAGCAAAAGAAGTTTAAAAAAAGAAACGTAACAGGAAAGAAGAGTCCGGGGCTCCAGTGAAAGGCTCAATCACGACCACAGGAGGCCGGGCAGAGCGTAGGAAGCGGGGACAGACATGCCAGGCACCCACCCAGTGACATGTGTCTATGGTCTGCATCCGCCCATTATAAGACTCAGCTCTCCAGCATCTACAAACAGTACCAAAGCTGAGCATCTTCTCATAGTTCATTCACAATCTGTCCCATTAGCAGCCTCTGTGCCCGCTTCTGGTCTCTGAACCCACTGCACCTAATAGACACCGTCCCTCAAATACACGTGCTCCCGATCAGTGTTGTACCTTTCTGGAAACTTGCAAGAAGTGTGTTTTGATGGATAGAGGGTTTTCTAAATTACGTTCACTAACCAACTGTTCCCATGGCTGCTGTAGTTTTATTACATGTAAAAAATCTACTGCCCCTATTTTAATTTTCTCTAAAAAACTGCTGTTGGTGGGATGGTAGGGTGGCTTAGTGGGTTGGGGTCTGCATTCGGCTCTGGTCATGATCCCAGGGTCCTGGGATTGAGTTCCGAATCAGACTCCCTGCTCTGCGGGGAGCTTGCTTCTCCCTCGGCCTGCCGCTCCCCACTGCTTGTGAGCTCTCTGTCTCTGTCTCTCTCTCTGACAAATAAATAAATTCTTTAAAAAAAATTGCTGTTGACAATGAGATCTTTTAACTGATTGGATATATGTTCTTGGCCATTATTGGATGAAGACTCAAGTTTTCCTTCACCACACAGACGCCCATGGTCACAGCACTGCTCATTAACCAGACTCCTAGGTTTCATTGGTTTTATACGAGTCCCACATAACCAACCACTTCACCAACATGAGGACAGCGCTCATGTTTGAGGAAAAGTGACACACAATGGGTTCACCCCCATTCTTATTTTTTTAATACACTCCTGGCAATTCTGGGTAACTTACATACAAACCTTAAGATCAAAATCTGTAAAAATATCAGTATTTTTATTTATACTGCAATAAATTTACAGACTGAGTGACACCACCTTCAAAAATTTACTCTCCCAAACATAAACATGGTGTATTTCTGCACTCACTTAAGTCTAATGTTACAGCTTTTGTCAGACGCAGCTAAGCAGTGGGGGATGCCTTCTGCACAAGGCAGCGTGAGCCGCAGAGTCCGTCCCACTGGCTTCGCACACAGCAGGGGCCAGAGGCACCCCGAACAGCTGGCACAGACTCGCTGCCCCACACACCTGCTGCCCCTCCCACCCTCTCTCTGACAGCAGCCAGCAGGCATCCAGGAGGGCAGGAAAGGAGCCCTTGGACCTGGGGATGCCTCTCTGCTGGAGGCGACAGTCAGCCCCGTGCAGACCAACTGCATCTGAAATGATCATGAAGTGGGTAATATGCAACAGCTTCCTAAGTGACCATTCAGGCACCTTGACAAGTGGATTCCAGAATCCATTCCAAGAAACTGATATGTAAGGACAGCCGATATTCTGGGGAGGGCGGAAGGGGGCCCAGAGAAAAGACTGGAATGCCGCCCAGCTGGGGCATCAGTGGAGCGGCTGCTCTTGCCAGAGAAGAATGGGACAAGAAAAATCCCCAAAGTAAGATCCAAATTGGTTAAAGACCCAAATGTACAACAATAAAACCATCAAAAATTTATTTACAACAGATTTAAGTAACTGTTCTATAACATACTTAAAATATGCTCAAACCCTGGGCTAGGCTGACAGACCTAAAGGCAAGCATGGACTTGCCATCCTTTAACTGCAGCACAGGGGCACCTGGGGGCTCAGTCGGATGAGGGTCTGACTCTTGCCTTCCGCTCAGGTCACAATCTCAGGGTTGCGGGACCGAGCCCTGCACTGACTGGGCTTGGTGCTCATGGGGAGTCAGCCTGAGGTTCTCTCTCTCCCTGTCCCTCCCAGCCTCCCGCTCCCTTGCACATGCTCGCTAATAAAATGGAAAGCACCCACTGGAGGACAAAACAAATGAGAGGAGCAACAGACAAAGAGAAAGTTTTGGCCAATATTTACTTTTCTCACAAAAAGAATTAGTACATGGAACACACAACACAGAATGACGTTGGTAAAACAAAAACAAAATCTCAGAAAAAGAGCAAAGGATTAGAAGAGGGAGGCCAGAAGGAGAGAAACACCTGTGGCCAGAGGTGCACGTCCACGGGCCCTGGCCTCTCTACCTGAGTGGGTGGGTTGGGGGTGGGGAACGAGAACAGAGTCAGGGACTTGGGGCACCTGGTCCTTCTGGGTCTAGGATGTGTCCACACGCAGGAAGAAACAATGCAAGACCACACCCACAGGCTCAGGCTCAGGCCCCTGAGACCAATGCTTCCAGGACACGGGCTCGCACACATAGGCCACCCAGGCAGGCCTCCTCCGTGGACAGGCCTCCCAGGACTCTGGGCCCACACATCCCACTGTGAGGGCTCTGCCCGCACCAGAGAGGGCTGTTCAGTGGCCCTGGCTAACAGTGACCAAGGCCATCCTCCAATGGGCCCTCCAGTGGCACATTAGAGCCCTGGAGTTGGCCCCAGACCCTCTGAGGGCCTGGAGCTCACCACACAGGACTGCATCTGGAGGGCTCCTTCCGTGATCACAGCCAGCAGGCCCGACAAGGGGCAGAGGTGTGCCTGCCATCCACACCACGGCTGCCGGGCACTCGTAGTCACGGGCAAGAACGTCATGGCTGAGACAAGGGCTAGGACCGGTGCCTTCTGCTTTTCCCTGTCCACGGCTCTGCTTCTGCTCGTGGGCTGGCAAAACAAAGCACCAGCGAGGCTTCTGGGTAGACCCCCTGCAAACCTGAGTCCATCGGTCCCTAAGATGTTTCCCCTCCAGCCTGGATGCTTCTGACTCTCAGACACGCTCTCTAAGTCACCCTCAGAGTGTGAACCCTGGACAAAAGACGGGTACGGGCCTAACCATGTACCCATAGAGAAGACTGCTTGACAGGCTGGTCCTTGGCTATGGCCCAGCGATTTTGGGAGGCCCTTACTGTTCCCAGAACTGCTGAGAGGGGACCCCTGGGCCCAGACTACTTGTACCAAGATGTGGTCTATGCTCAGACCTACTTTCCCCCAAGAGTCTGGAGCCTGGTGCATGCCAGCCAGAGGATGCCTGGGACCAGCCGAACGCAGGCCCTGGTGCTGGGTCTCTGGAGGATTTCCAGATGGACGACCACACGTCATACATGCTATAGTGGTTCGGGCTGGAATCAGGAGTCCCATGTGACTCCAGAGTTGGGAGGACTCAGAAAGCCGTGCCAGGCTCCCCCGGACTCTGCCCCACATATCTTTTCCCAGCAGTCTGAGGAAAACTCTGTGCCAAGTCCTGGGTGTCCTCCAGCAAACCTCCAACCCAGGGGGTGGTCTTGGGACCCTGAAACATATCCTTTTTCTCTTGTTCAAGAAACCTTTGATATTGACAATGCCAGGCGATGTCTTGGTCTACCCTTGTCTACGCTTTGATCTTGACGGGACCCAAGGACGATGCCAAGTGTCGTCCCTGCCCAAGGTGCATCTGCTGGGGTCTGCAGGCCACCACGCCCGAGTCACCCACGGGATTCTGCCTGCATGGCCAGCCTGATGTGCGCTGTCAGGGTTATTTCCTCACATTAATATCCCATTTCCGGTGTAAGACAGTTGCACAAATCTAGAATGAGTCAGGACATCGGCTCCATCCAGGAGCACACCACCATTGTCTCTACCCTTCACGAAAGACAACATCATATTCCTTTGTTGGTCGAAACTGCGTTCAAGAGCTCAGACAGTTCCCCAGCATCCAGCCCTCCCCTCCAGCCTCATGGGGGCTCCAGCACCTCAGCCACACAGGAGGCCACGGGCAATGTCCGTGTGGCCACGGCCTGGCATTTGCTCTCCCCCCAAGTCTCACTGAGAAACCGTGAAATGCTGGGCCTGCCTGACAGACCCAGCAGGAAGGGGGTCTGCCCCAGTCCATGTGTGTTTCTGACAGCAGGGCTGAGTAGCTTCCTGCACATCCCACCGTCCCCTGCTCGTCATCCCCAGGGAGCTGCAACTCCCGAGCCCTCCAGTCCCAGGATGCCACCCTGAGACCCCGGCAACACCCCTCACTAGAACGAGAGGCAGGACGCGCTGCAGTTGGCACACAGTGCAGGGGACAGCAGCCCAGCCCACGACACAGCACCGCCAAGTGAGGCCTCCTGTCATCGGAAGCGCCACTGAAAAGCATATGCAGAAGGCAGCTAAGTCCGACAGCTGCTGGCAGCCCCTCCTATCCAGGCTCCCAGCCCAACCCTTCTGCCTCCGTAACCAGAACACGAGCCACACCCGTCCGATGACTTGAGACTCCAGGGACCAGACACTGGAGAGCCCACAACAGAAGCGCAGACTCGTCCTGCCGCCTTGGACATCACAGAGGGTCACAGAAGTGCGAACGGATGCCCTGTCTGGTGAGACATCCAGCCAAGTATTTTCTCATTCCACAAGGTCACGTCAGCTATGAGAACACCGTGCTACACAGCCCAACACAGCACAAGACTCACACACGTGCGTGCCCACACACACACACCATATGCAAGGGTGCACACGTTCATGCCACGTGTGCATGACTTCACCTGTGTTATCAACAGTGTGCACACCAGACAATGACCATCGCACAAAATAAAAGAACAAGGGTAACGAGACCAAGCCGTCCCCCTTCTATCAAAGAGGTGACCCCACAGGAACACACCACCTGATCCCTCGGCTGAGATGCACGGCCCAGCATCCACAGACCTCCGAAACTGTTGGCACAGCAAGGGGGTGCCTCCTCGGGCGGGGACATCCCTGAGCTGGAGACCTGTGCCCATAAGCGCTAGGCAGCACCCAGCCTGCTGCTCCCGTGGAGCTCCCGAGTCAGAGCCGAGGGGCCACAGGCCAGCATCCAGCATGACAGGACAGCCTCTGGCCAGGCACACGCGTAGTCCCCGGAACAACCCGCTCATAAAGAGACCCTGTTCACCCACACACTCTATCCAGCCCCAGTAAGTCAGCACTGTAACTAAGCAGGGCTGCACCGTGAGGCATCCCCGGGCCCCCCCACTGCCCCGCTCACTCCACACCACGGAGCAGAAACCGCACAAACGTTGAGGTGTGCTGTCACAGTGCAACGGGGACACGGAGGCGGCTCACTGTCTCCATGGAAAACGCCCCCCCAGGGGAGAGAGGGTAGTAGTCCCACATGTGAGGCACTCCCATGGACCCCCGTGCCAGCCATGGCAGCGGTGCAACGAGCGGCTGCCGCCACCACATAGCGTAGAGCCCATCCCCTGGGTCTACCCAGCGGTAGAGCCCGTGCAGACGGCGCATCGCAGGCTCACCAACTGCCTTAGGGCCGGGTCCTGCCAGGTCTGGAGTCGGGACAGAACCCCAAGGACGGGAAATTCCCACTACAGAGAGCCCACCTGCTGCGCCCTCACTTACTTGGCAACGGACTGGATGACCTTGGAGGAGGTATCCTTGATGTTTGTGAAGAGGCGCTCAGTGCCCCCCCGCAGGATGTCCAGGAGCCCACCATAGGGCTGGTCGTACTCGGCAAGTGCCAGGCCTGGAAGCAGAGACAAGTCTCCAATCGGGGCACGGCCTAGGCCTGGCTACCATGCCGGCTCCCACAGGGATGCGATCTGAGAAGCAGGACCAGCGAGGAGCCCCGCCTCCTGGCAACCCCAACCGTCAGCACACCACGTCCAGAAGCAGTTATGAGACCAGCAACCGGGCCACCTGTTCACTCGAGGGCAGAACCTGGGCAACGTGAAGAGCTGGACCCTCTGGGCACACACAGCCCCCCATTCCCGCTTCCATGACGTCCCCCCAACCCACTTGTAGCATGTACTGGACACCAGCTGGAAGGCCCCCATCACACTACCTCACGCTGAGGGAACCAACAAAGGGGAGGCAGCCTCCAGCTCAAAGGCAGGGGCACAAGTCAGGGGACACGGAAGCCGCAGACACTTGGAGGAGGGAAGAGTGGGGAAGAACATGCTGGGAGAACACAGAGCAGGCCATGCAGCCGGAAGGCCACACGGCTGGGCCTCGCAAACACCTGGGGCAGAAATCGATCGTTTGCAGAGGCAGGGCGGCCAGGACGGAGCCAGACCACAAAGAGGCACCTGCAGACACAGCTGCCTGGCCGTGAACAGAGTAGCAACAGATGCAGGGTCCCTAAAGTCGTCAAAGGGGGTTCTGGTGGAAGAAGTTGGCTTAAAAGGAGATCAGCATGACCAGGCCGCATGTGGGCCTTGAGGGTCATCTGCCAGGACCTCCACCCTCTATCCCCAGCAGCCTAGAACTGACGTGGCAGCACTAGCTGCCAGATGGCCTGGTCCCCACTGGGACAAGGTGCCGGCAGCTCTCAGACCGTGGGGACTGCCCCCGAGATGTGGCCAACATGGCCCACGTTTACACTGGCCCTTCACCAGGCAGTCTGCAGCCCAGCCCTGGCCAGGCACCAGCACCCCTCCGTGTGCAGCGAGCAGGTGTGGGGCAGGCTCTTATCTAGGTGCCCTGAGAACCTCCCTCCATGGCAGCTGAGGCAGCCCCACATATGGGATGTTCAGGGAGGCATCCAGGGCCCACAGGGCACGGACACAGAGTGTCCAGGGCACGGGAGAGCTGAAGGAGCCAGGACCTGGATTCCACAGCCCAAACACTGAAGAGCTGGGGAACGAGCACTGGGGCACATCCTGGCACAGCCTTCCAGAACTTTCCCAGGCATGGCCACACAGAGCTCAGGCCAAGGAGAGGAGCATGGCTCGTTCACCAAACGTGAGCAGAGCTGTAAGGAAAACGACCGGCCCCACCTCTCCTCCCACCAGAGCTGTGTCTGTGCCTCCCAGCCAAAGCCCCCACTCGGAGCCCTCCAGTCCCCTCCAGCTCCACGGCTCCCATCATGGCTGCCCTATTCCCCACATACTCTCCTCCTAATGGGCTTGCCCTCCAGCTCACTGCCCTTCGAGGCATGCCCTCATCCACCGGGGCCATGGGCCACACCAACAAGTGAGTGACAGAGGGGCCACAGGCCTCCACAGGGCTGGAAACTGAGCCATCCACACAATGGGTGGCGATGCCTGTGTGGCCACCCGCAGCTGTCCTTCCATGTTGCAGAGGACCAGTGCTGTCCTGACGGCAAAGAGAGAGGACACTCACATTCTTCCCCAGCTACCTGGACCGTCAGTGTGCCAGTTCCACTGAGTTCTGGCAGTCCGAGACAATCCAAGCCTGAAGAGAATCCTGGGGACCCCAAACGTGTAGCCCATCTCCTGCTGTCAGGCCAAAAGCCCTGTGAGAGCAGGATCTGGGTGCCCTATGCATAGCAGGGACGCGGTAACCCCAGAGGACAAATGGTGGGCACGAGGCAGGGGTTACTCACCTCCGCTGTATCCGCCACTGCTGGAGCCCCCAGGAAGGGGTGGCCCTCGGGACACGACAGCGTTCCCATAGCCTCCATTCTGCTCGAGGAGCTGCAGTGATTCAAAGTGCAAACAGTCAACCTCCCCAGATGCAGCGAAACTCATGGACGGGGGCACCTGTAAGCCCCAGGTGCGTCCGCTACCATGTCCACCCAACTCTGCCTGATGTGCTGAACAGCCAAGGGGAGGACCTCCCAACTCTGAGCAGCACACTTGAACCAAAGACCACACAGACAAGGGGGCTGCACATGCGCCTCAGAGCACGGAGGGAGCGGCTGAGAGTCTGCCCCACTCTGCAGGTGCTCCCCGCTTGCCCACCGCAGGCCAGGCTCTGCAGTGACACGGGATGGCAGACCCTTGGGATGACACACCTGTGGCCTCCATCAGCAGTGTGGCTGCCACAGAAGAAGGGTGGGGGGCTGTGTCTGTCACGAGCAGAGCCCAATGCCAGTGCTGGCTGGGGCTTCGACCCCAAGCCCACTGGATGCTCGGAGCCCCTGGGCAAGGTGCGCAGCCCAAACGTGTGACCACGGGACAGGCCCCGAAGCCCCACTGGGGGCAATCCTCAGCCCCCCTCAGCTTCCACACTTATTCACAAGTACTTGGCAGCACACTTCAGAATTTCTGGTGGGGTTTTACAAGATATTACCAAGGTCAAGCTTTACTACAGCAAGCTCAAGAAATAAGATATATTTGCCATCACTTCTCCTGAGCGTGACAAAACATCTTTCTCTGTGACCTGGTAGGTAGTCGATGCTGATCCCCTACAGACCCCTACAAACCATGCACACGCCCACCAAGTGTGAGGTAGCCCACGCCTGTTAGACGGGCCAGGTCTTCTCCTCGCTGAATCTCTATCTGCTTCACCGATCTCTGGAAGAAAAAGAACGTCCCCTACCGGGACCCTCCACTTCCTAGGACGCCCTGTAAACCCTAATGAGTGGTGCTCAGTATTGCTGAGGCAGTGTCATGAAGAACATGCAGATGCTACTTGGTTTTTCAAAATTCTGTTTCCACACCCCCTACTTAATGACACGGTGCACCTCTGCCTACAGCCCTCCTCCTGGGTTTCAGACTCTGCTCCTGTTCTCGCTCTCTGCGGGGGCTGTGTCTGTTGCACTGTGGCAGGCTGCCTTATCATGGGGAGGACTGGCTCATTGCATGATCAGGCCCGCATGGCCCAGAGAAGAACCCTCCAAAAGTGGTTCAATGTTTGCACAAGCAGATCCCAGGTCCCAGAAGCACTGAGATCAGAAGATGTGCAGCGGCCCACCAGGGGCTGTGTCTGTCCGGCAGCACCTCTGTCCAGCCTGTGGTGAGGTCCCAGGGGTGCAAACGGAGGCCAGCTCGCCCACCGATCAGACAGCTCCCCACACCACCAGCCAACCCTCTGCTAACTCTCGGGGAAGCACACATCTTCGGGGGGGGGGGGGCGCGGGAGGGGTTCTCTCTAAAGTGGACCCACTGGCTTTCTCTTCCTCAGCCCAGTGTGATGACCCTCCCTGACAAGGCAGGTCCTCATCTCCACCTCCTGCCTGGGCCCCCAGGCCTGGGAACAAGCCCATGAGATATAGGCTGAGCATCAACCCCCAGCATCCCCCAGTTTGCTGCCCCCATCCCTGTGACCTCACAGAGCAGCCCACCTCTCATCAGGTACGAAGCTCCCTCAGGGAACTCAGATCACCCCAGGCTGCGGAAGCTCCCTGGCACTCATGAGCCCCATCAGGAGCCATGTCTCCTGCCCCAGAGCAGACGGGGCCACTCACAAGACCATCCGGAGCACACCATCGCGGGCCACACCTGGCAAGGCCCCTACCTCAGTGATGGGAGACTTGGGGTTGACATTCCTGGCTGCCGCAATCTCCTGCAGCTGGTTGACCAGTTCTGTGATGGAGAGCCGCTCCTCGGGGTTGACCTTCAGCGTGGCACCTAGGGCACAGACAGGGGAGCTCGGGCCAGGGCTGGGGACAGCAGTGTCTGCTCTCCCAGAGGTCACGGACCCTGGAAGCCCCTTGGTTCACTCACACTAAATTTCACAAGTGAGCGAACTAGAACACAGACAGAAAGCCCCAAAATGGCACAAGGTTACCAGAATGGAACATTCAAAGCACCGAGAATTCACAAGGTGGGTGAGCCTGGGGAAAAGCCCCATCAGGGGGGCCGCCACACAGCCACGAGAGACAGGGGACAGGCAGTCCTGAGAAGTGACAGAAGGCATGCCCCTCAAGGTCCCTGCCCATGGGACTTACGGATGAGGTCGTGGAACACGGAATACCGGGTGTCATTAGGGGGGATTGAGAACTTCCCGTTGACTATTCGAAGTTTTGCTCCATCCTCAAAAGGATGCTGCCGGAAGCACAGCAAATACAAGATGCAGCCCAGGGCCTGTGGGGAGAGCGGAGGTGAGGGGTGTGCAGGTGGTTGGGGTGGAGGGGGACAGGGTGGAGGGGAGGAGCGCACAAGTGGTGGGGGTGGGGGGGGGATGGGGGGGGGGGGTTACAGCCTGTTCTGGGGTCTGGATCCACAGCCCAGGACAGTCAAGACCCAGCTGACCTGTGGAAGATGGAGTCACACCCTGATCTGAGTTACGGGCGGCTGCAGCCCCCTTTCCACCCTCCTCAGGCGCGACCTACCAAGGTCTGAGTCATGAACAAACAACCATGTCTTATTTTCACATCAAAACAGAAAGTCCTACACACCAGCATCTGGGGCTGGCAGGGCAGCTGCGGGAAGGACTGGCCGTGCAAGTGCACAAGCTACAGCAGCAGGAACACAGGAAGCAAATGTGCGGGGCCGTGGGGGCTGTCCCTTCCTCCTGCTGCTTCTCCCTGGAGCGACGGATGACAGGGCGGCGGCAGACCAATGGGGCAGCGCAGCCCCCACACACATCCTGCTCTCACTGAGAACAAGCCGCGCTCTGAGGCCCAGGAGAGGCCAAGCCCTCAGCACCCACGCCGTTTCCCTATCCAGCTCCGTGTGCGCACGGGCGAGTCCTCTAGTCCAGATGTGCCGAGGGCACCTGTCTGGGATCAACACCGATTGGAAAGAAGACACCACGGGCTGGCGCTATCATGAGAAACGGCTCTCACACACACATCCTACCGACTCCCATGCTTCAAGGGCTCTCAGCACCACTCAGGGTGCAGATGCTCACATCCACAGCAGGGCCCAAACTCTGGGCCCTCAGGGGCAGCCTGGGCCTGAGGTGCTGCTGTCCCTGGTCTTAGAGAGCAAGGCGGGGCAGCCCCAGGCCACTCAGGGCAGCACTCCCCAAGTTCTGCACCCTGATGCTGGACCCCAGGAGGGACACAGCCAGGCATAATGCCCCCACCATGAAGGGACTGCCACAGGGTTTCAGAAAGGTGAAGGGAGCAGGGTCACCTAGGCATCAGGGTCTGGCACTGACTCTGGCCAGCGCCCGACCGGCCTAGCACTCCGACTGGGATGGGCAGTCCAGTGGCATGAACGGCCTCTCCAAAGAGGCTCTGGCCAGGACAGCAGAAGTCCTTGCATCCGGAGGGTTCAGGTCCCAGCCTGCAAGCAGCAGATCTGCCACAGGAGCAGTGTCCCAGACACAGCATCCCAGAGGGCCCTGTGGGACGCCGCTGCACGCGGACACCCCCCCAACTTTACTCAGTGTGTCTCTGCTGACGGCACTCACAAGTGACTCTTATGAAAGCAACGGGAGAAGAAAATGAAGGAAAAAGGGACACCGGCAGGAACATGAGCAGAAGAGCAGGCTGGACTCTGTGCCCGAGGGCCCCCTGCGCACCCACAGGCAGGGTGGCCCGGGCACCACCGCGGCGCAGCCTCACCCAGATGTCCTGCTTCTCGCCAATTGGGAAGTTCGAGTACAAGTCCACCATCTCCGGCGTCCTATACATGGGTGTGGTGTTCCTGGTGATCTGAAACAGACATATATGCTTCAGAGAAAAGGCCATACGCGAGGACGGCTCCTTACTCTGCATGGCTGCTATGATGCCTTCCAGAACACACCGCAGGACGTTCGCAAATGACATTCCTGACACACCACTGTGCTCCACCGCAATGGCTGGCCGCTCGCCTCCCTCCTCACCCCGCTGCCGCCTGTTCTGTGGTGCCTTGGTGCTCACTGGAGCGGCCACACCAAGCCCTCACTGTCGGTATCCCAGCCGCCTGGCCCGGGGGGAGTCTGGTCCAGGGCCGTGGGTTGGGTCACATGTGTCTGTGAGAGGAAGTGCTATTCCAAAAGAAGCTTCCTGACACGTTCTTATGGAAACACTTTAACGGGATAGAGAACTAAACCAAATCCACCCAGTTGGCCAGGTGTTTATGTCAGGAACGCTGAGACCCGAGTACATAGGGTGGGACGTGGGATGAATGAGAGGGAGGCTGGCGGCACAGCACAGCGGAGGCCCACACATCCGGCGAGGACGGGGTCTCCGTGCACAGTACGCACAAACACCAACCACAAGGCCACAGACTCCAAGACCTCCACAGACACACGGAAAGGCTGATAAACTGCTCTCCACCCTCAGGTCTGCTCCTCAAGAGCAAGGCCCTGCAGAGGCCGGCCTCAGGTGGGTTGAGGGCGCGTGAGCCCGCGGCAAATATGGGGCCATGCACATGGCCTGTAACTCCTGCAACTCCTCAGGGATAAACGAGAACGTGATCAAAGCACTGAGGGCCTCGAGCAGGCCATTCCTGAAAACCATGCTCCTGCACTCAGGCAGGATTCACTCAGAACACCACGAGGCAGGCGAAGCTGGGGGCACCGTCCAGTCCAGATGAGGGGTGACAGAGGCACCCACACAGGACATGTCACACAGTGGCACACTTACAGTTCTGGGCTGGTATGCGTGTCTGATAAGCTTCCGTTAAAACCCTGATTTCAACATCTGGATTTAGTCACAGACCCAGCCACTGTGAGTCTGGGCTCACCTCCAGGGACACCCACATGAGAACCCACACACGGGCCGCTCAGTGTGCTGCTGTCTCTAAGTCTGCAGACGGCAGGACATCAGACACAGCCTGACAGTGAGCACAAGGTTCTGGCCAAAGGGCACAGGGTCTCAGTGTCGAGGGACACAGGTGCACGGACCCAGGAGAGACCACGAAGGAGAAACAGCAGACAGAAGCCAGAAGAGCATGTGGGGCACAAGGGGACCAGGGACCTGGGGATGCACACCCATGTGCTCATCCCTGCAGGAGGACAAAGAGGGAAGTGTGTGGGCAATGGGGGAGCACCCTGCTCTCAGCTCAGTTCTACAAACCTGTAACTGCTCAAAAGGTCAACTCTATCAGTTAAAAAAAAGAAAAATTTAAAAAGACACATCCAAATGTATTTCAAATGAGTAACAAAAGCACTTGGAAGGAGAGAGACCAAATCCAAGGCCCTTGGTCTGGGGTGCAGACTGGGGGGAGGGGCATGCAAGAAGCACACATGGAGCCGGCATTCTCGCCAGGATACGTGTCTTCTCTAGCAACACTGGGACTCTCGCATGTGCGGCAGAACAACAAGTGGATGCATAAGGGATGATACTGGGCCACTCACTGGGAAAGAGGGACACACGGATGTGGGGTGGGGCAGGGAACCCACCGGACAGGCCAGAGTGGAGGTGCCGACTCAGAGGCATGACTTCTAACAGAAAGACACATGTATAGGTCTGCATACACGCGCCCACACACCCGGAGCTTGGTCTATGACACCATCTCCCACTCCGAGGTGACAGCCCTCCTCTGAGGAACACAGATGCCCAGGCTAGACGGGATCGGCACCTGCCGAGCTCAGAATATCCTGCTGCTCTAGAAAGTAGACAAGGGCTCCAAAATGATGGGAGAATGTCAAAGAACACAGGGCCGAGTGTGAAGCAAATCTGGGGCATTTTGGCACCAAAATAACTGAGGATTCCCCATGAACCATGGGAAAAACGGGAGCCCCAAGTCCCTACGAACGGTCAGCACATGAGGGGCGGGGGCTCCTGCTCTAGCGGGGTGGGGTGTGTGGCCACTGCGGCACACAGTGGGGTCAGGAGGGGACACAGGCTTAGACTCACAGCAAGCAGACACCCTGCCCCGCGGATGGAAGATGGAAGGAACCACGACCCAAAATAGGGGTGCACGAGACTTGGGAGGTGGTCGCACACTTCTGAGGGTCTACTCAAGTCCGTGAATGGGGCAGGACTCAGAGCCCACGAGGTGGTTACTAAACCAACCCCCACCACATGGGACCAAGGGACCCCTTCCCACGTCTCTGAGTCACTGTGCCCTGCCAAGAGGCTTAACGAGAACAGTCACACATTTGCACTTTGCTGGGAACAACTGTCTTATAAATATTGTCACACAGAAGTGGGAACGTGCTACTTTGGAGTGATTGGACCCATCTCCCGACTGAGTAATGGAGTGTGGGAGGACAGACCCCCTTCCCTCGATGAGCATAGTCCATCTAGGAACCTGTGCTCTGACCCCTGACAACCTAGTCTGAGGCCTGAAGTAGACAGTGATGGACTCCAGGAGAAGTAACAGCTGCTCTGTGCAGATCTGACCCCAGGCGAGCTTCTGGTAGGACAGGTCCTGATGGGCTGAGTGGGTGGCTTGTTGGCTTAAGGCCTCTGCCTCAGGCTCTTTCCCAGCAGGCTTGCCTTGATGTCCCCTCAGAGTGCGGCCTCAGCACCTCCCTGACCCCATCAGTCCTTGTGGCTCTGGGTGTCCTGTGTTCTGTCCGCATGTGTGGTTTCTGTGAGCTGCTCGTCACAGTAGAAGCCGCCAGGAGTGTGCAGTGCCGGGGTTTCCAAATGAGGGCACACCATGGAGCCCTCCCACCCCTCCCTACAGCCACGCGTGCTCAGGGCACACTCACCAATCCCCTCTAGGGTCTCCTGCAGGAGCCTCTGAGGTTTAACTTTAACTGATATATATATATATATTTTAAGTAGCCAGATTTGGGCTGGTGACAAGGTTCTATGAATGGATGGCAGCGTCAGCCGAGCAACCATGAATGTGCCTCAGGCCGCTGGAACACAACTTAACAAAGGTTAAGACCACAAGTTCTACACCACATGTCTTTTACCACATTACGAAAAAAATACAGTTAAAAAAAAAAAGCTGTGGGTGCCTGGGTGGCTCAGTGGGTTAAGCCTCTGCCTTCGGCTGGGGTCATGATCTCAGGGTCCTGGGATCGAGCCCCACATTGGGTCCTCTGCTCAGCAGGGAGCCTGCTTCCTCCTCTCTCTCTGCCTGCCTCTCTGCCTGCTTGTGATCTCTGTCAAATAAATAAATACAAATCTTAAAAAAAAAAGCCGTAAGAGGCACTTTTGGGATGAGATAAGTGATGGAGACATGAGATAACCCTCAAATTCGGTGTTTCCCGGTCCAAAGACAGGCCTGGGAGGTGAACACCAGGGTGTGACTCACCTGTCTTCACAGGGCACAGCGTCACAGGAAGGAGACGCAGGTGGAGCAGACCAGGATGCAGGCCATGCCTCCCCCAGCCCCCCCGCTCACCTCATCCTCTACAAGGGCCCGCCGCTGGGCGCTCCAGCTGTAGTCGGGGTAATGCGATATGGTCGTGGCACTGCCAAAGTCACAGAGCTTGATGGTCCCTTGGTTACTGAGCAACAAATTTTCCACCTGCAGAATCCCAGAAGACATTCCTTATGAACTTGGGCTACAGAGAGCCAGGCTTGGGGGGTGCTGGAAAGACGGGACGGGGCTCCCCAGAGCACAGTGAGGAGCCTTCCACAAACAGAAAAACACAGCTTTGTAACTTCTTTCTGATCCAAATCAGTATGTGTACCTTTTAAAAACACATAACTCAGAAAAATAAAAGGAAAAAAGTTAAAATCAACCGCAAATCAAAGATAACCCCAATCAATAATATACACAAAAAAAGCTTAACAGTTAGAACATCAAAAATTAACACGCCATTTTAAAATCACCCAACATATCAAGAACCCAGGAAGAAATCAAACAAAAGATACACAAAACACCTCTACTCAGAAACCTATAATTGAGATAAACTCTTCAAATCTAAAAGCGACAAGGAATTGGACCATATTCTTAACATGACAGGCACAGATTGGCTGCGGTCGCCCCAAGGCAGGCCCCAGTCTATGGGCCAGGATCAGCTCTGGCCACTACCGGCTTCTGCATGGCCTGCACACCTAGGTGGTTGAGGAAACTTCCCTTCTGTGACATGGGTGCTTCCGCAGCATGACCTGCATGGCCACGCCAGCCTGCTCCTGCAGCCTGGTGCACTATCCAGCAGGGCCAGCATGCAAAGTTGACATGTTTCAAGTCGGGCCTTTTATAGGAAAAGCCTGTCAAGCTCACACTCTGGGAGACAGTCAAGCAATTTCAATCAGAGTCTGGAAAGGTTTTGGGGCGGAACCTGACAAACTAATTCAAAGATTCACATGGAGACACAAATAGCCCGAAAGAGCCATGTGGTCCCCGAGAAGCCCCATTAGAGAAGGCAGAGGAGCACAGGGAGCAGGACCGACAGCCCCACAGGACATCCGCTGGGCGCCAGGCCCACGTGAGGCCGCACCAAAGGACACAGGCATAGGACAGCCATCCAGGCAAGGTGCTGAATGGCCACCTACAATGGACTGAGGAAGACCTGCCCTGACACGCAACAGTGGACTCCAGGT